CTCTCTCATCCTGTCTATCAGTCCCCGAGTCTCTCCCGCAATGTCTCTCTTGGTCTCTGTCTCTGTGACCCGAGGCTTCATGCTGTCTAAGCTCCTCTCCGTGTCTCTGCACACCCCGGCCCCCGGCCCTGGGCCTCTCCCAGTCTGTCCCAGTCTCTGTCCCTGTCTCTCCGTCCATCCATCTCTCTTCTCCCAGCCCCTCCTGCCCTCCCCCTCTCTCCCTCTCTGTCTCACTCTTCGCCTCTCTCTTTTCTCTCTCAAGTGTTTTCAATTTTATTCTGAGTGGAATTAACTACCCCTGATGTCAAATTGCCGCCGAAATCGATAATAATATCTTTACAAAAGAGGATATTCTTCTCTCGGAGAACGGCCTCTGAAAAATGGAAAATTTAGTCGAAATTGATTCATTACTTGACACTTTATAGAACGGCTGCGTATTGATCGCACCTGTCATGTCCCATCTCCCCTAATCGAAGCTGAAGGCCGGCTCCGATGCCTGCTATTTTTCATAATTCCACCGCAGCCGACAGCTCCACAAACACCGCCGCTCGCCCGGCCTCCGCCTCCCGCTCTGGCCGCCACCGCGCGCCCTCGGCCTGGCCCTGGCCTCGCGGGCCGCGCCTGCACTGCCGGCCCCCCGTCCGGCCGCCGGTTCCCTGCGTGTCCTCTGTCCATCCCCAAGTCCTAGGTCTATGGGGCCTTTTCCCGGGATCGCCTCCCGCGACCTGTCCACCAGACTTCTCAACACCCCTCCCTTGTCCGTCTGTCGTGTCCCCCGAGCCCACCGCGCCCACCCCGGCTGGCTGCCTCCCCACTGCTCTCGCGGCCATCTGCCTGTCCTCCCCGGCATCCCCTGCCTGCGTCCTTCCGCCGCCTTCCATGGCTGGGGGGCGGGGTGGGGGGATGGGGTGGGGATGCTCTCCGCTCCCCGTCCCGCAGCAGACCCGCCTGCCCTGGCTCTGGGTTCCCTCCCACTCCCCAGCACGCTGGGTGTGGCCTGGCCCAGTCCCAGCCCCGCCCCTGCCCTCCGCCCAGAACCCCTCTTTGCTGCTTCTCCCCACCTCCCCTGCCCCCTCTTGCCCCTCCCTCCCTTCCTGGGTCTCCCCAGGCCCCCCAGTGCCAGGCTCCGCCCTCAATGGGGACTCAGAAATGAATTAGACACCAGGCCCTGACCTCAGTGAGCCTTGTGCCAGGTGGGAGCCCAGGGGGGTGTGGGTGGGAGTGTCAGACTATGCAGAGAGCCTGAGGGTGGGTAGCGTGGACTCTGCTTTGGGGGTGTCAGTCAGAGCTGGAGACCAAAGTCTAATATGTGGGGGGTGGGCGGTGGAGGTGGGGGTGTACACAGCTGTGTACTGCATGCTGGTGGGATTAGGAACACAGATCCTCCCCTGGCCCCTGCTCCCAGCAGGGTCAGGCTGCCTGGGCTCAGGTTCCACTTCCAACACTAACAAGCTGTGTGTAGGCAAGTGATCTCTGTGCCTCAGTTTCTCCATTGGTAAAATGGGAGGGAGGCCAATAACAGCACCTCCCTCAGAGGGTTGTGGTTGAGAGAATTAAGTGAGTTAATCCATGTATAGAGTTGGGGCCAGTGCCTGGCTCAGAGCAGTAACGTGTTCGTAATCATGGCTGGCATAATTGTGCACAGAGCCTGTTCAGTAAACCCCCTTGTGTTCCTGTGGCTCAGGGAGGGCTGAGGCAGGAGTGGGTTAGGGGGATGGATTCTTGGGGTTAGAGGTGAGCTTCATGGCTTTACCTTCTGCCACCTTTAATGCTGCTTGCTGCCCTCTTGCAAGGGTATTACAGGCAAGCTAAAGGGAGGCGTTAGACTTAACAGAGGGGGTCCTTTCACTACTTAGGAGTTTAAAAAGAGTCTAATGGATGTTACAAACCCCGAGGTGTTCTCTCTCTTTCATGGGTAATAAATTCAGTCCACTGGGTGTTACAGGCTGGTGAGGGGGTTTCTCTCTCTCTCTGTCTGTCTCTCTTGCAGGGGGCATTAAACACCCTGAGGGTGTTCTCTCCCAGTGGGGTGTTAACTACAGCTGTGATTACAGCCTCCCTGGGGATGTTAACTACAGCTTAATGGTCCCCCTCCTGTGAGATGCTTCCTTCAGTCAAGTAGGTCTGGGCAATACTGCTGATGACTGACTCTGTAGCCTCCATGGGTGTCACACCCCTCCTCAGGAACGCGCACAGCAAGAACTCTCACTTTTATTGAGCACATATTATGTGTTTACAGGGCACAGTCCACTGATGTCCATCTTCTCATGAATCTTCCCAACCACCTGGGGCTCAGAGAAGGAATCCAGTTTGCCCAAGGATGCACAGCCCAAAAGGTGGAACAAAAATCAGGAAGGTGTCTTGCTGGGAGTGGGGGTTCTGAGCAATCAGATGAGTGCTTTTCATAGGCCCAGTGGCAAGTACAGCCTAGCTGGTCCTCATCCCTGCGGGCATCAGTGCTCTCCCTGGAAATCCCCCATACCTGCTGCCTGGGCACTGTAAGCCCCTCACAGGTGTTACCTACAGTCTACCCCTGGCATGCTTTCATCCCTCCTCGAGGCAGGGCATAGAGATGAAGCATGTGGGAGCCCGCTGGACTGATGCTCTGTGCTGGCTTACGGGTGTCAACAATGTTCCAATGGTGCTCTGTTTTGCAGAAGGGTGTTGTGAACAGTGTAGCAAGTGATGCCTTCCCAGAGGGGGTGCAGTCTCATGAAGGGTGTGACATACAGTCAATTGAGTCCTTTCTGCTCAGAAGGTGTTCTTTCTCTCTTTCCAGGGGTCCTTCCGTGCACTTAATGGTCATAAAATACAATCTAATTGGTGCTCCGGATGCCCTCATGTATTCTAGCTCTCCTGAAGGATGTCCTATCCGCCTGGAGCATGTTGTCTCTCTCTCCCAAAGGGTGTCATGTGCAGATGAAGAACCTGCTCCTTGACAGTCAGAGCCCTGTACCATGGAGGTGCTGGGAGGATGTTCTCCAGTCTGGTGGGTGTCACAGACACCCAAGGGTACAAGTCTAGCTGGGAGTTCTCTTCAGAAAGCTTGTGTACCATCCCAGGTTGTTCCAGATATCCAGAGGATGGTGCTGTCCTGTGGGGTCTCAGGCACAAGCCTAATGAAAGGGTAGCACACCAGTGCGGGGGCTTCCTGCTGGCTTCCTGAAAGAGTGTTTTTCCATGTGGAGGCAAATGAGGGACTCCTCGACTTCTCAGAATGTTTAGAATTTGTAGCATGATTGTTTTGAAGTAGTAATGTTCATGGCAAGTGTGTGTGTTGGGTGCTTGGCCCAGGGCCCAGTGCTTGCCATGTGTCCTGCTGTTTAATTCTCTCAAACTGTCTAGAAGGTAGTTGTCATTACTGCCCCATTTTGCAGATGAGGAAACTGAGGCTCCTGGCTGCTTAGGAACTTGGCCGAGTGCGTGGTGAGTGGCGGTGGAGCTGGAGCCTGCCTGAAGTGCTCTCACATCCTCTCATCACCTGGGTCTGGGTACTGCGGTCTGGGGGCTGAAGAGCCGTCCTGGCCACAGCATTTGGGAACTGTCGTCTCACCCTGAGACACTTTCCCCTCCGGGGACAGGTGACTCCAAGGGTTGGGGCTCCCTTGGGAATGTGGCCTTGGGGCTTCCGGGACGTAGCCTGACCTAGGAGTGGGGGAGGGAAGCGGCCAGGGGGAGAAGGAAAAGGCGTGAGGGGAGGACAGGGAGGGAAGAGGAGGGTGAGGGCGGGGGCGAGGGTCTGGCTGGACCACGGAGTCCGGAGGGGAGAGGAACTCTGGGGCTGGGGCTGTTGTTGCCTTCTGGGCCCCAGGGCTGTTTCCCTGTTATTTCAAAGGGAGCAGATCTGCTGGGCTGGGCAGGCCCTTCCCCGCCTCTGCAGGCGTGCCTGCGTGCTTCTGTGACCTCGTGGGCGTGTGAGGGAGTGTCGGTGCACCTGCCCTGGGTTGTCTCGGTGAGTGTATGTCCACCCTCCTTGGGCTTGTGTGTCGTTGAGGGGGTGTGTTAGGGGGTGGAGTGCAGTAGTTGTGTGTCACCAAGCATCTGTGTGTGGGTGTGTCCAGTGTGTAGGGTCAGGGCGTCAGGGCACCAGGGTCACGATAGGTCTGTGTGTGCAGGCTGTGTGTGTGTCTCAGTGTTTGGGTTGTGTATTCCACTTTTGGCATTACTGTAATTGTGTTTGTACAGAAGGTAGGTCCGCGTATGTGTGTCCATGCGCCCAGTAGGCTCTGTGTCCTGTGTGTGTGATGCGTGTGTCCCCGTGTCCGTGTGTCTGCTGAGGGTGTGTGTGTGTGTGTTCGGATCCAGTTCTGCATGTCCGGCAGGCGTCGTGGCCGCGTAGCTGCTCCGTCCACCGCAGCCCGTCCGGGCGCCCGCGCGTCCTCCTCGGGCGGGGGCTGCGGGCGGGGGGGAGGGGAGGGGTCTCTCCACCCCTCCAGCCACCCCGCCCCCACCCCACTCCCTCAGTCCCGGGATCGAACCTTATTTAGAGTCGCGATTCGACATCTGTTTTCAAATTTGATCAGCTCTGAACTTTATTTTCCGAGTTTGAGGAAAATTATATTCCATCGATCGCGCTCCCGCCCCCCTCCCCCGCGCCGCCCGCCGCCGCCGCCGCCGCCGCCGCCGCCGCCTCCATATATCTGCGCGCCGAGTCGGCCGGGCGGCCGCGAGGGCGGGAGGCGCGCGGCGCGCCGCGGAGGAGCCGTGGGCGGAGGGAGAGCGGGAGGCGGCGCGGGGGGCCGGCCGCCCTCGCCCCGCGCCCCCGCCTGGCCCGCAGGCCCCGCGCCGGCAGCTCCGTCCCCGCTTCCCGCACCGCCGTCTCTCTTCGCGCGCCTCTTCCGCGTCTCTCCGCAGCTGCCCGTGTCTCTGCCCGGCGCCCTCTCTGGGTCTCTGCGGCCTCTCCGTCCCGGTCCGCCTGGGACTCCCGCTCGCCCCTCGCGCCCCCTCTGGCTCCGCCCCCAGCGTCTCCGCGCCCCGCCCCCCGCGCCCGCCCCGGTGCCCCCTCCCCAGGGCGCCGCGGGGGCCATGGCTGCGGGATCCCAACTTTAAACACTTCTCCCCGGACCGGAGCGGTGCTGATGCGCGAGCCCCAGCGAGTGAGTGAGCGCGGGGGCGGGGCGCGGAGGGGAGCGAGGGGGTCGCTGGCCCGGCCGGGGACGGCGGGGGGGGAGGCTGCGGGAGGAGTGGGGCCTGGTGGTGCGCCCTGCGGGAGGGGTCCGGGGTCCGGATGTGGGCCCGGGGTGTGTGAGAGTGCGGGAGCGGGGGACCCGGGAGGGCCTGGGGTCTGAATATTTGGGAGGCGGGCTGACCTCAGGGGGGCTGTGGAGGTCTGGGACTAGAGTCCTGGTCTGGTGTAGAGGCTGGGGCTGAGGGCTTGAAATATGGGACCCGGAAGCTCAGAGCCAAGAAACCGGATATTTGGGGTTGAGAGCTGATTCTTAGAGGCTGGGGGTCAGGACTGGGGATGTGGGTATTTGGGGCTGGGGTCATTTTAGGGGTTCGGGCTGGGGGAGCTGGGGGGTCTGGATTTGGAGCTGGAGTCCAAGGCTGAGGCTCTGCAAATTTGGCTCTGGATATTTGGTGTGAGGGGTCACAGGGGCTGTGGGAAGGACCTTTGGGCCAATTCTGGGGTCTGCACCCTTCAGGTCTGGAAGTGCAGGCCTGGCCTTGACCTTCAAGGGGTCGTGTCCTTCTGGGTACAGGTGGCCCAGTGTGCCACACATTTTCTGTCCCTGTCATTCCAGTACTGTCCCTGGGTCATGTTAGGCCACCTCTGTTCTCTCTTTCCTGGCTGTGTCTTTCCTCATTTCCTCTGTCTCTGTCTCTTCTGGCATCTCTGTGTCCACCTTTAACTCTCCCAGAATCTGCCTCTCTGTCTCTCTCTAACTCTTTATCTCTGTCTCTCACAGCATCTCTCTCTACTTCTTCGGGTCCAACTCTCAGAGTACGTGCCTCTCTCTCTTCCCATGTCTGTGTCAGCATCTCTCTTTCTGTCTCTGTCTCTGCCTCTCTCTGTCTCCTAGTATCTCTCTGTCTCTGCCTCTCCCAGCATCTCTGTCTCTGTCTCCCCCTCACTGGTTTCCGCTCAGATTAAGCCGGGGACCTAATTCCAGGCCCAGGATCGAATTTTCTGGCAACAAAGGGAAATAGCGAATCGATCGGTCGCTCCGGAGATTAAGAGACAAGCGGCGCGCGGATCTATCACGGCTAAACGGCCCCCCCCGCCCGCTCCCCCTGCCCGGCCAGCCCGCCGAGGCCCAGACGCGCTCCGCATCGCCAAGCAGCCTCAGGAGCCCCGGCTGCCCGGCAGGCCTGGCCTCGCCAAGCCCAGAGCTAACTGCGTGCCCTGCCTAGGACCAGAGCCCTGGGAGGGACCCGCGAGCCAGAGCTGGCCCCTGGGGCGGGGAGGAGAGGGCGTGAGTGAAACTGAGACAGCAGACCACCCTGAAGACTCACCCTGCACACACCTGTGGCCTCAGGTAACACTTTTCATGCACACCTGTCTGTCAACACACCTGTCGCACCAATGCTTCCACCTCAAGTCCCCACACCTGAACCTCCAGGTAGCATTTGTGTCCTTACCTGTCCTCTGCTGGTTAACACCTGTCCTCTGCACCTGTTCCCTTTATCTGCACCTGTAGCTATCACCTATTTCCTCTCACCTACCGTCCAGGTAATACTTGTCCCTTGAAATCTACCTTAAAGATACCCATGATCTCTCAGGTGACACACAAATCCTCTTACCTGCACCTCCAGGTATCACCTGTTCTCCAAAATCTGTCCCTTCCCTCTGAATCCCTGCCTCTGACTCATTTCATACCACATTATCTGCTTCCTACATGTGCCTGCACTACATCACCTGTCCCCTAAAGCTCTAAGCACACTTGTTTCTCACACGTTGGTATTTCCTCACCTCTGCCTCTCCTCAGGCGGTACCTGGCACCCTATCTTCACACACAGGCATACCTTCCTTTGCACATAAGCACTCACACATGCAGCCTTCTAATCTGTCCTCAGGTAATGCCTGCCCCTCCTACCCTCCTGGCTGTCACACTTCTCCCTTTCAAAGCTGACCTTGCCCACCCTCACACCTGTCCTTCCGAAAGAGCTTTCCAGCTGAGAACATACCTGCTTCACACCACTTTCTCTGCCTGCACCTCACTCATTCTCCATCTCCCATCATTTAACACACACACCTTCTTCCAGTTGATTGCCCCATACCTGTCTTTCCCACTTGCCGTTTCAGGTAACTCATCCCAGACGACACGTGCCCGCATTGCACCTGTCCTCTGACCCTACACCACCCGACTGCTCCTACAGTGGTCCCAGGGTATCACGTGGGTCCTTCTTCCTCGCGTCCCTCCCCTGCCATGATGTCTTCCGCAAGCCCTTGTCCTCTCCAAGTCCCACCTGGCCCACCTGCACACTTGCTGCTTGCCTTGTGTCTGACTCTTTCTCACTATCCCTCTGTCTCTGCCTTTCTGTGTCACTGTCTTTCACAGCACAGCACCATACACACATTTGGGCAGGGAATCTGTCCTTGGCCATGGGTCTGCCTTACCTGTATCCCCCAGGTACTGTTTATCCATTTCTCTTCTTTTCCCATGTATGTAATTTCCTATGTTTCTCACTTCTTCTTTCCTTACTGTGCAAGATCACACCAACATCTGCACACACCTGCCTGTTCTTCACCTGTCTACCTCAGGTATCACCTGCTCTTGTGCCATGTCTACTCATTTCTTCAGCAAACAGGTACTAAGACCTCCACACTGCCCCTCCTTAATCTCTCTCTGCTTTTTATCTCTTCAGCCAGGTGTCTGCCACACCCCTGGACTCCCTAACTTGTCCCCAAGGAGAACACCTACTCCTGGCCATGCTCCTGCCCCACAGACGTGCACCTGACTCCCAACACTGGTCCCCTCTATCCTCCTCCTCCCCGCAGCGTTCATGCAACCCTGTGCCCTTTGTAGCTTTTTCAGACATTGTGTGCCCACCCCACCCCACTCAATCACCTTGTCTCATGTTCACTACCTGCTCACACAACTGTCACCCCCACACCTTTAGGGCCAGACCTTTAGCAGCTCCCTCACAATATTTGGGGTTGAGAGCTGATTCTTAGAGGCTGGGGGTCAGGACTGGGGATGTGGGTATTTGGGGCTGGGGTCATTTTAGGGGTTCGGGCTGGGGGAGCTGGGGGGTCTGGATTTGGAGCTGGAGTCCAAGGCTGAGGCTCTGCAAATTTGGCTCTGGATATTTGGTGTGAGGGGTCACAGGGGCTGTGGGAAGGACCTTTGGGCCAATTCTGGGGTCTGCACCCTTCAGGTCTGGAAGTGCAGGCCTGGCCTTGACCTTCAAGGGGTCGTGTCCTTCTGGGTACAGGTGGCCCAGTGTGCCACACATTTTCTGTCCCTGTCATTCCAGTACTGTCCCTGGGTCATGTTAGGCCACCTCTGTTCTCTCTTTCCTGGCTGTGTCTTTCCTCATTTCCTCTGTCTCTGTCTCTTCTGGCATCTCTGTGTCCACCTTTAACTCTCCCAGAATCTGCCTCTCTGTCTCTCTCTAACTCTTTATCTCTGTCTCTCACAGCATCTCTCTCTACTTCTTCGGGTCCAACTCTCAGAGTACGTGCCTCTCTCTCTTCCCATGTCTGTGTCAGCATCTCTCTTTCTGTCTCTGTCTCTGCCTCTCTCTGTCTCCTAGTATCTCTCTGTCTCTGCCTCTCCCAGCATCTCTGTCTCTGTCTCCCCCTCACTGGTTTCCGCTCAGATTAAGCCGGGGACCTAATTCCAGGCCCAGGATCGAATTTTCTGGCAACAAAGGGAAATAGCGAATCGATCGGTCGCTCCGGAGATTAAGAGACAAGCGGCGCGCGGATCTATCACGGCTAAACGGCCCCCCCCGCCCGCTCCCCCTGCCCGGCCAGCCCGCCGAGGCCCAGACGCGCTCCGCATCGCCAAGCAGCCTCAGGAGCCCCGGCTGCCCGGCAGGCCTGGCCTCGCCAAGCCCAGAGCTAACTGCGTGCCCTGCCTAGGACCAGAGCCCTGGGAGGGACCCGCGAGCCAGAGCTGGCCCCTGGGGCGGGGAGGAGAGGGCGTGAGTGAAACTGAGACAGCAGACCACCCTGAAGACTCACCCTGCACACACCTGTGGCCTCAGGTAACACTTTTCATGCACACCTGTCTGTCAACACACCTGTCGCACCAATGCTTCCACCTCAAGTCCCCACACCTGAACCTCCAGGTAGCATTTGTGTCCTTACCTGTCCTCTGCTGGTTAACACCTGTCCTCTGCACCTGTTCCCTTTATCTGCACCTGTAGCTATCACCTATTTCCTCTCACCTACCGTCCAGGTAATACTTGTCCCTTGAAATCTACCTTAAAGATACCCATGATCTCTCAGGTGACACACAAATCCTCTTACCTGCACCTCCAGGTATCACCTGTTCTCCAAAATCTGTCCCTTCCCTCTGAATCCCTGCCTCTGACTCATTTCATACCACATTATCTGCTTCCTACATGTGCCTGCACTACATCACCTGTCCCCTAAAGCTCTAAGCACACTTGTTTCTCACACGTTGGTATTTCCTCACCTCTGCCTCTCCTCAGGCGGTACCTGGCACCCTATCTTCACACACAGGCATACCTTCCTTTGCACATAAGCACTCACACATGCAGCCTTCTAATCTGTCCTCAGGTAATGCCTGCCCCTCCTACCCTCCTGGCTGTCACACTTCTCCCTTTCAAAGCTGACCTTGCCCACCCTCACACCTGTCCTTCCGAAAGAGCTTTCCAGCTGAGAACATACCTGCTTCACACCACTTTCTCTGCCTGCACCTCACTCATTCTCCATCTCCCATCATTTAACACACACACCTTCTTCCAGTTGATTGCCCCATACCTGTCTTTCCCACTTGCCGTTTCAGGTAACTCATCCCAGACGACACGTGCCCGCATTGCACCTGTCCTCTGACCCTACACCACCCGACTGCTCCTACAGTGGTCCCAGGGTATCACGTGGGTCCTTCTTCCTCGCGTCCCTCCCCTGCCATGATGTCTTCCGCAAGCCCTTGTCCTCTCCAAGTCCCACCTGGCCCAC